ATATATACATATATATATATATATATATATATATATATATAGTGAAACAGAAATGATGAATTTAATCTACAACGATGATAATCATTTTCTTTTTATCACAATAGCATGCGAAGAAAAATACAACTTTTTAAATCAACTTTAGGCTTATCTCATTGAAATCTAGAAAACTATACAGTAATATTTATGGTACATCATTTTGATGAAATGGTAAATATGTTAAATCGTCGTACATATATTACCATGTATCGTCAAAAAGAAAAGATGAGTTTACCCTCTACCTACAACAATGATAATCATTTTTTTTATCACAATAGAATGCAGAGAAATACAACTTCTTGAATTTTGTATAAAATATTTAACTGAAAATAATTATATAATTATAATTATAGATTTACTTTTTGAAAATCCTTCCAATTTGTGGCTATACTTATAATATCTAGTAGTTAAAACGGTAGTTAAAATGTGTCATAATTTTATTTCTTTAATGTTTCATTAACAACTTCAGTTGTGAGACAAATCACTGGTGGATTCACAATTGCTGAAATAGGCTCTGATGCAGCTACTTTCACAGCCGATTATGACGACCCTACATCAAATGCGTATCAGGAGCTCGCTTTGTTGATAATCGAAGCGGTAATAAAGATTTATATTTTTATTTCAAGAAATTCAATAATAGTGCTCATAATGTGATCATTTAGATAGATATTTAATATTTTTTGAAGAATCTGTGACACTTGTGATGTCAGGCAAGTGTAAGATGAAGCACCACACACAAATGTATAGTTTATACTTTGTTATTGTATTGCTAAATCTGCATACATAGGCCTATTTGATGAATTTAATCTACAATGATGATGATGACAAAATTAACGTCAAAATATTGAATCCCAACACGATGGCGTGCATTTCGATACTTGGAGTATCCTAGGCCTATTTGTGTCTTATTTGATGATCACTGATATTTAATCTGTAATATCAAAATCTAAAAAACGTACTGTTACATCCGATGTGTTGAGTATAAATTATGCAAATATGGCAGAATGCATCTTTCCAAGAGTAATAAAGAGAGAACGCAAGTATATACATCAAAATGTTATTTCCTATGATTTACCAACTGCACCTATAAGCTGCTACCTATAAGCAACTGAGTCCAGTGCCCCATATGTTGAAGACATTTTAAAGACATTAGACTCATCAGCCACCAATGTACTCAAGCAAACAACACATAAATACGGGACCATATTCTACAAATAAGAAAGTATAATACATACTACAAGTAATGAAATGCACGCCATCATGCATTTCAATACTTGGAGTATGTATTATACTTTCTTATCTGAGATTAATCAGTGGACTTTTCGATATTCTACAAAGACATACAACATAGTTTACGTGGCTTAAAATTTGGCTCCATTATGCGTGAGCCCTCAAGTTGTATGAAGGGAGAGGGACTACATGATATCGTATGGGCCTCTGTGATCTAAACGGTATGGCGCTCCCCGAGATAGAGAGAGATTGCGGTTTCGATTTCCACCAGAGAACACTTTTTTCCATACAACTATAATAAGGAACTCTCATTGATGAGCTATGTTTGATAAGATTTACATCATGTCCTTCTATATTTCAGAATTCTATTATTTATTTATTTGGTTTCAGTGTATTACAATTTATTTTTTGTAAAAACCATTGGAATGAAAACATTATTTTTGTTCCTAGTGCTCCTATTGACAGTAGCCGTGTGCGATGATCCCTGTGTTACCAACGCGTCAAGTTTCATCCAACTGCGTTCGCAAGCGGGCGTCCCATGCTTTAACTTTGTTTCGTTAGCAACAATAGGCAATTATACGCTCCAACACAGCATTAATACGATGTATATGATTAATATGTGTGTATGCATGCATGTATTGTGTGTGTGTGTATATATGTATGTATGTATATATGTATGTGTATGTATGTATGTATATATGTATGTATGTATGTATGTATATATATATATATATATATATGTATGTAATATATGTATATCTATGTATGTGTATATGTATGTATGTATATATATGTGTATATGTATATATGTATGTGTATATGTATATGTGTGTATATATATATATATATATGTATATATACGTATGTATATATATATGCATATATGTATGTATTTATATGTATATATTTATATGTATATATGCATATATATATATTTATATGTTTATATATATATATATTTATATGTATGTATATATATATTTATGTGTATATGTGTATGTTTATGTATATCTATATATGTATATACGTATATATATGTGTATATGTATGTATAGGTATGCACATATATGTATGTGTATATATATATATATATACTGTATATTATATATAACAGGTCAACGTTTATTAAATTCATGAATGTGTTGTTAAAACAGTGATTTATTGAATCCAAGGGACATAGGCTCAGTTTCATAATTATCTTTGTCTAATTTTTTCTAAATATGAATATCAAAACAAAAAGAAATATAAAGAAAAATTTACTACAAAAAATAAAATCTAGAAAACTGAGAATAAACTTAGGCCTATGGAATTAATAAGGACATGTGTATACTTGTACAAAACAGTAGTAAAATACCTTCTCCACATCGCCACTATATAACTATTACGCGTGTAAAATAAGAAGTTTTTGTGTTTTAAATTATTCAAATTTGAACATAATTATTCGTTTATATTTTTTTTCTATTTGATACATAAATTGTCATATTTAATGTTTTTCAGTTTAAATTTTTTAAATTTAATAATAGGATTTATTTTGAGCTACAATAGCTCTTGTTTCCCTCATTGATTCCGGATCCAAGAATATATGGACACAATTTGTGCTGCTTTAAGCACCATGTCTTGTATATTATATCTTAAATTTTATAATAGGTGCACTGAAGATTACAGAGGAGAAACGTGTGATAAAAAGAAGCTAGGAACATGGATTATTGTTGGTATTGTCCTTGGTAGTCTTGGTGGTGTTTTGCTGATTATAACTCTGATCTGCTGTTGCTGTGTAGTTTGTAGTGGAAGGCAGCAAAATGCAATGTACCAGCAAGAGGTGATACTGAAGAGACCCAAGTATTTAGAGGAGAATGTATATGATAATACAAATCTATCACCACGTTTCGGCCATATGTATTATGATAAAAATGTAACACCTGAAAATCTTGGTGGCAGGTTCAAACATAATGGTCATTTTTCAAGGCCATATATTGTGACAGGAAATGAACTTGAGGTAAATATTATCTTTATAGCGACTTAAGCTTTGACAGTTATTTGTGTTCGAATTAATACTTTATGCCTACATACAAACTAATGCGACTTCATCAACGACCTTTCACTGATAAAAAACCTTTGACCTGATTTAGTTTTACATAGGACTATTTCTGTCCTGTAATTGAAAAGTTTTATGAAAGCTGACAAGACATATCCAATCATTCTAATAATCTTTTAATCATTTTCAGAATCTGGCTAATCGTGATAGAATGTATTACAACAACTTCAGTAAGTTCATTGGCCATATTTTATTATAGGTCCTATTGTGTGCTCAGTTATATTCCTAGATATCTTAACGCTATTGAAATATATTTCGATGCTAATTATCTTTGAAAATCACATTAATTTAAGACTGCTGAAAATCACAGACACGAACTCATGTTTTATAGTTGGCCTATTAAATAAATATTGTCCTATATAAATGTACAGAATAAAAACAATGAAAATGTCAAAATTGAAATCTGCTTCTTCAAATATTAATACATATTTTGTTAATATGTACTCAAATAAATAAATCTTATTATTATTATTATTATTATACCTTTGTTCTTGATATTGTTTTGCTTTTACAGGTATGATGAAATGAGCGTAAAATGGAAAGCAGCAGGATCACATACGGTATCAGAATGAAGCTGAAACGATAGCCAAAATAACGTTTTACACCTAACATCCATCCTAATTATAACGTCCGTAAATTAATTGTACTGGTATCCTATCCATCCATATTTAATTGAATACTGAAAGTAGTACAGAACTTAAAGTATTTTATGTGCATGTTATTAATGCAAATGCGTTAAATCGTTCTTTAAAAAATAATTGATTCCTCTGTTTCTTTAAAACTATCTTTTGAATTTTATTAGATTTGGTGTAACACCATTGCCGTTTCATTTTCTCTTTCCTTCACTAATTTTATTCTTTTTGTGTCTATTACAGCTTGGTACTTGCTCTTGCCAACATACCCCTTTACATAATATTAAGTCAGTTTTTCATTGGGAAAAAAAATTATTAAAACAATTGTCCATGTTATTGTTTGAAAACATAATTTACTCATTATATATGGTATTAGTATTTGATTAAGTGAAAGTTATATTTTCTATGTGACTAATAACCCTTGATGCTAAATTAGCAATAAATTATTTTAATATAATAATGTTGATACTCAATAAATAAGAAATGAATGTTATACAGTAAAAATTAATGTTATTATTAATAATTTAAAAATAATTAAAACAATTGTCCATATATTGTTTGAAAACATAATTTATTCATTATATATGGTATTAGTATTTGATTAATTAAAAGTTATATTTTCTATGTGACTAATAACCTTATTCTAAATTAGCAATAAATTATTTTAATATAATAATGTTGATACTCAATAAAGCATAAGAAATGAATGTTGTTATTATTTCTCATTCGAGTTTTCTTCTGGTACACCTGCATCATCTTCAGGAGTGGATTTAGGAGGGGGAAGTCCAAAAAAAGGGAGAAAAAAGAAAGAAAAATAGTTGATCGCCCAAAACACCTCATAGGCTTTTTTGGGGTGTCTTGAAAACCCCCAAGTAGTGTTATCTCGATCAGCCACACTTTCGGTTCCCTTTCGCTCGCCCATCCCCTTTTTCGGACATCTCTGGATCCACTCCTGAACTTTAGTATTATAATTCCATATTAAAGCCCATTACACGGAAAAGGACATAGCTTGGGGTAGAATACAATAAAATAATGTTCTCAATATCCAATTGTTCGGTTAATGGAAGGCTGAAATGCCTCGTAGGTTCTGTGCATTGGTAACATTTAGTATAATTTCGTTGTTATAATTAACTTTTCGTTTCAGTTACGTTCTTACTAAAGTGTTGTTTCTACATTTAAGGAAAATTTAAAAAATGTGATTATAATACCTGTTTTAGCAAGATCGATGACAAATTTTCATATTTATATAGAACCTAATAATAAGTAGTTACTTTTTATTCATAATTTTATTGAAAAAATAATAATCACATCCAATAATAGTGTCTCAATATATATATATATATGTACAATATGAATGTTCTCTAACACAGTATTTATAATAAATATATATTTTTGTGAATCTAACCGTATTGTTCGACTATTATTTTGATATGTGAAACTTATAAAGAATATGACACAGTTTTGGCTATAATCATTTTTAAATTCTATAAAAACCTTTGAGCGATTATGGATAATCCTATTAATTTATGGGACTGATACTTGTTATCGTACTGAATATTTTGTAAGTCCCAAATAGGCTAGTAGCAGCAGTTTGGCACAGCAGTTGAGGTTTGGGCTTTCAATCGTAAGGTCGGGGTTTCGAGTCTCCGCTGTGCATATTCACTTGTGTCCTTGGGCAAGGCACTTTAGCTACATTGCTTCAGTCCACCCAGCTGTATCAATGGGTACCAGCAAACTGCTTTGACGAACCTGCGATGGACTAGTGTCCCGTCCAGGGGGAGTACAACTCTCATCCGCTTCACACTACAGAAACTGGGGATAAGCTCCAGCCCTATGAGCCCCAGTGGCTCGGGAAAAATAGGATTTAGTACTTGTGAAAAACATTTTGCAAATGATTTGGGTGTCAAGACCATTAGAAGCTAGTGTTGGGTACTGCTATGCTCTTTCGATGTCCATGGGACGGATGTTTTGGCCTACATCAAAAGACCAATGTTACATATGTTCTAGGCAGGGAGGTGTACGGTCTAGGTGACATCCAATTTTTTTAGACAGCCTTCACTGGAGAGATCATATTATTAACAAGGAAATGTCAAATAATATACACAAAGACTTGTACTTTGATCCCCGAAACTATAGTGATTATAGAAAAACAAAATAATAAAATTGATATGAATGTAAATACTTTGACAGTGATGACTTAAAACATTATTCTAAAGATATACATGAAACAAACAGCATAAACATTCGGAAGGACTGAAAACACTTTCCTTTGTTTCTTTCATTTATTTCTCCATACACATTCACATACATAACAAGAAAGCTAAAATAGTAAAAAGAAATAAGACTAATAGGCCTAATAATACATTACAGAATACTTGTGTGGAAGGAGACCAAAATAAGCTTAGAATCAAATTTTAAGCAATGGTCGCCAGTCATAATTATATAAACAGTCAAATTATATATAGTGTATTAAGCATTCATTAATTAAAAAAATATAAATAAACTTGAATAATAAATTTTAAAAAAAAGTTGAATTAAGGCTTCTAAACCTAATAGATCACAAATTAAATTTAAAATTATTGGGTCACCAAAAACCAAATGTCCCACTGTCCTAATCTGCCTGTCTATATTATTTCCACTTCTATAGAAGAAAAAAAATGGGAGGAAGAGTTGGTATTTACATTTGTGAAGGGTTGCTACCGAACAAAATGATGCTTAAGTAGAACATTGTGAAGTAAACAATTAATGCCTTTTGTATTTAAATAAGTAGTAAAAATAAAACAAATATAATTCTCTCTGCTGAAAATGTTTAATCCACTATGATGAAACCTCTTTTTTAGGATAAATTTTTAAAAATAAAATTTTACTTTTGGAGATTTTAATATTTTCCTTATAAAGTATAGTAAAAACAATAAAGTTAAAACTTTCATCGAAAATATTACGGCCGATTCCTTTTCCATCTTATATTCAATCCTATTCCAATAACAAATACATCAGCTACCCTTGCCGGTAACATTTTTACAAACCAAATCAAACAGCTGATCATTTTTATGTTGAAAGGTCTTTACAAAATGCACATAAACCCAACAAAAAAAATCCTACTATGCATCAATACATCATTAATGATGAATCGATTCAAAATACTATTCATGATTTTTATGAAATAGACTGGACAAATTTATTCCTTCAAGTAGACTCAAATATTGCCTATATAATGTTCCATGGTGTTGTAAAATTGATCCATGATAAACAGGGTCTAAGAAAATTTAAAATGATGTACAGTAACAAACTCAAGTACAAAATTCAATAGATGATGAATAGATATTAAAATCTAGTAAAAAGAAACTTTATAAAAAAACATACTGAAAGTTGCAAAACCCTGACATGATAAACACCATAATTATGCAAAAGGGCAAGAAAGGACTTCTATATATCCGGATTATCGAAATGCCATGGATACATGACACAACCTGGTACACATTCTGGTAATACATCCAAATAAAACTACACAACAAATTTCCGATACTAATAAGCAAAAAGGATGAAGCAATTACCGACCCATCGTCGTTGTGTTCGTTATTATTATTATTATTATTTGTTATCATTAGGCCTATTTGTTATTATTATTTCACTAAATCAGATTTCAGGTAAATATCTTTTGTGTTATATTCCCCTTAAAAGTCATGTTATTTTCCCCATAATGTCATGTTTTCTAATTTCCCATTGTCTAATTTCACCTTAAGGTAGGTTTTAGTAACATCATTATTATTATTATTATTATTATTATTATTTATTATTATTCGTTATTATTATTGATTGAGGGTGTATAATTAACCACACATAATAGATTTGTGATCTGTTTCAATTTCAACTACTGTAATACTGTATACTTTCTGCTCTGATAAATAATTCAGGTATTTGATCTTTTCAATAGTATACCATGTTAGCATATAGGTACAGTGCAATTTCACTAAGTTTAATTCAAACACAAGCTGCCGTGTGATTAATTCAACAAATTTTACTTCAATTTCCATATTAAAAAAAAAAATTTTAAATGAAATTATTGACACTACATATACAATAAAGTAAACACTGATCTTACATCCTTGGAATTGTACAAATTTGATATGGCTTTGGAATAAGTGTAATCCCTACATGAGGGTCAAGGCAAGGCGGGTTTTGGTCATCAGGCATCACAACTTTAAATCTCTGCATAAAGTTTGTCATAAAAACAAACATCTCAGATTTTGCCAAACTTTCTCCTGGACAAGCTCTTCTACCTATAGCAATTATAACAAAAACAACACAAGTTTTACATATACAGAAGTTTAGTTGCAATTTTAAACATTATGAAGTTTTAAAAAATGCCAATATTGTTTTAAACTGTATAAATTACTATTATAAATAATTTAAATATAAAATCATAATAAAATTACATTTCAAAATCATCTAGAACAATTATCTTTTTTAAGAGAAACTGAATTAATTACAAACAAAAATTTAAGTACTCGCCTATTCCGAAAGGCATGAATGATTCTGGTTTTTTAACTTTCTGACCATCATTGGTCAAGAATCTTGAGGGATTGAATTCCGTCGGTTCATTCCAATATCTTGGGCTCGTGTGCATCCTGTGCTGGTTGATGGATATAGTTGTTCCTTTTGGGATCTTGTAGCCTTCTAAATAAAAATCTTCATTATTTGAATGAGGAAGTGTCGTAGGTGCTGTATTACCAAGACGCTGGCTTTCATAAATTGAAGCTTCAAAATAAGGTAGAAGTGATTTATCTGCCATTGTTGGTCTTCTACCCTCTAACACTCGATCAATTTCTTCATGCACCTTCAAGAAAATAAAATATATAAGTCAATCAGTTGGTCAGTAAGTAATTAAGCAAGCAAGTCAATTACAGCTAGTCTGTCAACAGTTTCCATTTTGGTACTGGCGCTGGTATGTGCATTTATATTGTGCCTTTTGCTTGCGGTTATAAAGTGCATACATCATTCTCACCATGAAACTATGTGTACTCTCCTGTAAAATATTAGATTAAACGATGTTAAGTTTAGTGTGACATACATATACACTATCCCAAGTTATATTGCAAGAAGGGTGCCTGTATGCCTAGGTAAGCTAGGGAAATCTAATTTTTACATCTAGCCCTAGCCAAGCTAGGCCTTACCTAGTGATCACAATGATTGCAACGCCGCACACGCACCTTTTAATAACCCAATGAAAGTTTGTGAAAACGAAAAATCCATTTTTCTTGGTTTGTCCTCAACGGCTAATTAACTTAATTAGCTAATTAGTGTAGTTCCACTCTTAAAAATTAGATGAAAATGTAAAGTTTGATGTACATAATCAAAATGTCAAAGAAAAAAAAATATATGATTTTTGAAGTTTGTTTCACTTTGTGAAAATGGTGACGATATGTTAAGAAACGAAATCTAAAACAGACCTTTGACTGTATTTTTGGAAATCTTGCCATGTAGAGTATGAACCAAGAAAGAGAACTAGAAGTGGTCTCAGCTCCAGCTACAAAAATAGCAAAAATGGTGGACCACATCGTGTCTGGCTGAAAGTACCCATCTTCATTCTCCCTACTCTTTTCAACCTCCAACAAAAGCAAGTCAATCAAATCGCGATTGACATTCGGCTGAAAACTTGACTGATGTTCAGCAATACGTCTTTGAATGAATTCTTGTATCTGTGTGACAGCCAGCTTTTTGTAACGAAACATTGGCAAATCAATTAAGAATGGCATATGTGTTTCAATGTTCTGTAAATTAGTTTGTCTAAAATACTTCATCAGGTTATCTAACAAACTCACAAATTCCGGATCAGAATAATCATAACGTTCGCCAAAGCACAATGAGCAAATAACATTTGCGACAGAGCAGTTGATTATGTGCTGAGGATTAAACGGCTGCGACTGGTACTTGGCGGCTTCGTGGCACAGCATGTCAGCTTCGACGTTCAATTTAGTTTCTATACTTCTCTTACCCATTCCAAAATGCCGTAAAGCACTCATCATCCATTTTCTTCTTGTTTTCCATGCTGGCCCATTTTCCCATACAACACTTCCTGGATTAAATGAAGAGTTATTAAAATGCTATTTTATATCCATTATGGTAATATTTATGTAGACAATCACAAACATAATTTTTATGGTGTCTAGGCCCGTTGCCACCTGTCCCATTGTCACCCGGTCCGTTGACAAGGCCTTTTTCCACATGACCCATGCCACTTCGGTCCGTTGCCACCCGGCTTGTTGCCACCCAGGCCTATTGCTACCCGGCCCGTTGCCACCCATAATGAAATGAATTATAGCATTGTATTCTCAGAAATATCACTCTATGCATTTGTTCAACAACATGTGGACTGAAGGAGATTGATTGCTTTGATAAGTTAAATACATAATTTAAACAGACCTGTTGAGGTTGAAATATGCGCAAAGTAGGCCTATTCCTAATTAGCGTATAATGTTTTTTATAGTACGGTATGTTTTTAGATGTACCATATTGTATGTATGTATGCCTAAGTATAGTACGCATCTATGTATGTATTTATTTTGCCGTATTTACTGTAGTTAAGTGAGTGAGTACTATGACTGTATAATTTATTTTATATACTATTCCTCTATGGGATAGTACTTTTTTGCCCTGTCACACGATGTGCAATCTCTATTTTTGAAATGTACAATAATACATCAATAATAAAAACAGTAAAATCCTAAAAAAGCGACATTCTCACAAGAAAAATAAAAATCGCAAAGTTAAAAATACAATTAAAATTTCTATCATAATTGTAAAACCATTTATTACAATTTATTATTATTATTACTATGGCAATTATTACAATTTATTATTATTATTATTATTACAATTGCAATTATTATTATTACTTTGCAATTATATAAAAATTGCATAATAAATAAATAAATAAAAATAAAAAACATTGCAAAATTGGGCCCAAACAAGGTTTTATGCACTGCCACCATGGGTGAAATAAATTAGGATATGAAATTTACATAATTTATTTCCTCCCTGGTATACTGAATCTTGGTTCTACCAGTTATTGAAAACGCTAATATTTATAATAAAGTTTTTTGATCTTTTTGTTTTAACATTAGGAATTTGGAATTGTTTTGAGGAACGGAGATTATAATCATGGTTACATGGTTCTGGAAGAAGAATTTAATATGATTGGGATTTTTAAAGTTTAATAAAATATTTTTTGCACAAATCAAGCCGCCTAGCTAGTGCTAAGCTCAGGGCTTGATTCACTGTATAAGCTTAAACAGTGAACAACTACTTCGTATTGACCAGACATCACATGATAAGTGGCGGCTCTAGGAGGACTCATTTCCTGGGGACTAAGCTGTCCGACAGGGATTTGAGGTCGTAGGCCCGAGCCGGGAGAAGGGTTTGAGAGGGGTTCCCCCAAATGAGATTTTTTTAAGAACATAAAAAACTCGGTCGGAAATGGCACATGATCTGTCCCATAATCTCAGACTGTAGTGTAACAGATATGGTTGGTGTGGGCCTATTTTTATATTTTTTATTGTCTGACCTGTCAGGGAGCTTTCTGACTGCCCGACGAGCACTCTCCGACGGGGGGAGGGGGAGGGGGAGGGGCTTGATCTATCCGGTGGGTGAATTAAGCCACTTACCTTCAACACCACTTGTATGGGCTAAAAATGGAACCATTTTTCTTTCGGAGAATATTTCAGACTTCCCAATGAATAGCTCCTTAGCCAGTGCCAAATCGTTTATCCATATTGACTTCCGGAATGGTCCGTGGTATAAAGTAAATATTTTTCCATATTTCTCTGCCCATTTTGATATTGCTTGGAAAGGAATTTCACCGTACGAAAACAGGTTACCGACCACAGGTAACGGAGGCGGACCGGGAGGAAACAAATCAATGCTTCGCTGTCTTAAAAACAATAACAAGAAAACGATTACAAAGATAATTAGTGTACTATAGTTACCAACGCTACCCACGAAATTTAAAGAATCCATTTTGAACTTAAATCAGTGATTCAATCAAACAATCGCGCTCAGCCTATATACTTGATCTGAATGACCAGGCTTAGCAAATAAAATACCTTTCGTCAAGAGTACAGATTATAACAGTATGCGGACGTTAACTATGGAACGCCGTTACAATTCGATGTAACCAGTGAATCGTCGATGATGAAAAAAGTAAATCGTCGATGATGAAAAAAGTAAATCGTCGATGATGAAATACTGTAAGTGAATCGTCGATAATGAAGCAAGTGAATCGTCGATGGTAGAACAAGAAAATCGTCGATAATCAGGGGCGGATTGAGAGGAGGTGGGCCGGCACCGGTCCTCCTTTTGGACCGGGGCCGCTTCAGAGGTTATTTTTGGGAGCCTCTAGAAAACAACAATTAGGGTTAGTGTTGTCTCGATCATCCTCATTTTCGCCCCCTCCCCTCCACTTTTTGACATCCCTTAATCCGCCTCCTGTTAATGAAATATGATTTGACAGAGTTGCCTTAATAGAGCCGGACCAAATTTTTCCTGTCAGTCGGAAAGGATAATTGGTGTTCGATTAAGGTGTCGCAGTAAGAAAAAATATCAAGTTAGCACAATTTAATTACACAGTCAATAATTAAATTTTCACCAGTAGCACAAAAATAATTACTGATATTAAAAAACTATTAATAATTTTATTATTTTATGTATATATACTCGCAAAAAGACCGCCTTCGGCGGCCGTTTGCGAGGCTATGAGTCTGAGGGCGGGTCATAGGGCCTATTTGCAGGATGAATACAGAAATTTAAAAAAAGGCACTCCTGTATTAAATGACCGTCCTCTGTCTTGACCCTTCCCATCTTATTAGATCTGGAGACCGTCTCCGAACATCACCCCCTCTTGATCCGCCCAATTATCATTAGAAAATTAGTCTGTGAAGCCAAGTCGGCCAAATACTGCAAGTAATGCCATATACGATATTAATATTCTGAACCAGTGGCGGATCCAAGAATTTGAAATAGAGGGGGGCCCAGAGTGGGACTTCCACAGATGGTGGGTATATACTACCTCAGCCCTGGGCAGGGGCTGATCTGGGTTTAAATTTAGAAAGGACGTCAAGTTGTTCCTAACACCCCTCTACCCCCAAAAAATGGAGTCCGGGTCCCCCTCCCCGGGAAAATTTTGATTCCTAGATGGCAAAAAATGAGCTTTCCCGACTTTTAAAGCTCTTGAAAATTCATGGTTTTACCCCCCCCCCATTTCTTAAAAACGGTCAGGTAATCATTCTAATTACAGTAAATATGTGTATACACGTAAATTAATTGAGTAGTTGCATAATTATTTTTTTTCCATGAGAAGGGGGAGGGGGGTCGGGAAAATGTTGATTCCTAGATGGCGGGAAATAGCTTTTCCGATTTTTGAGTTGTTTTTAATTGCATTTAAGTCATTAAAAGTTTAGGTTTCCCCCTTTTGAAAAGGATTCTATGAATTGATGAACCCCAAAGAGAAAGGGGGGTAGGGTGGGGTCGAGAGTCAATAATAAATTTGTTTATAATGTTAAAGCATAGATAGGCTGAGGCCTACTGATAATTAATTATATGGTAGAAATTGACTGTACAATACTGTACATTAATAAAAATGTTCTGAGAGATGTATACATTTTTTATTCGTCATGTACTGACTTATTTTTAGTGATTAACATGGTCATTTTGTAATATATTTTACTCCGTTATATATGGAGAACATATGCGTTATCAGCTGCACTCACATAGGCCTATGCGTTATCATACTGTATACTATATGCTGCTCCTTTCATTGCACTATAATAATAATAATGATAATAATAATAATAATAATAATAATAATAATAATAATAATAATAATAGTAATAATAATAATAATAATAATAATAATAATAATAATAATAATAATAATAATAATAATAATAATAATAATAATAATAATTTGGAAAACGCTTTTTAACAGCGGCACACATTACATGGGTGCATCCACAATAATACTTTAACAATCAATTCATTACAACTAACAAAATCAAAACAACACAAAAAAGGTATGATTAGGGAGAATTGAGTACAATCTGCCTGTTCAGACTTAATACAAGTATAACCCAATTTGTAGATACT